CAACGATGATACTGCGCAAAGGAGACAGAGCACAGCTGACATGGATTGGTCGTGGCAACATGTTTGCAATAGTATTGCAAGGCCGGCATATGATCTCTATACGTTTGCGGATGATCATCACTCCAGTGTCGCATCAGTCCAGTGTGGGTGGTATGAAACTTACCACAAATGACACAGTGGTGCAAGAAGTAAATGAGAACTTCTGCATTGTGACAAAGCGCTGCAATCTGATGTGCTCTGGCATACTGAAGCAGTTCTTGGACGCGAAGTCTGTGTTCCACTTGGTCAATTTCCTGAAGTGCAGCCACACAGACAAATTTAGTGTGATATTGGAATCTGTGCCAAGTACTGAATTTTTCACCACATCTGATGCACGTTGGTATGTCTGCAGTGGGTTGTTGAAAAAGATGCCGCAGCAGGCCTGATCGGTGGCCATGATCAACAGTGCAGTGCCTTCGCAGAGCGGCCAATGTTTTGAAAACCATGCTACAAACCTGGCATTCATATTGGGTGAGAGTGTCCGGCACCTCTGCAAGGTCAGTCTCCTCTGTCACACGGTGATGTACCTTGTCAATGACCTGAATCAAATGGTTGTAGTCCGGCAATGGAGTGACCTGAAGGATGTCATCTGCTGATAGAGATTGATGTCTTCTCAGTGCACGACTGGCTGTTTGAAGGCATATGTCACGTAGCCGCAGGAGAGGATCGGCGATGTTGTGTTTTGTCAGGAAGTGGGAGTTGGTCTCTTTATACAAGTGTACAGGTTCACGGTGAATTCTTCTCAACTGCTTGAGACAGAATCGATAGAATGAAATCAGGGTAGCTTCAGTAAATCCCGTGGCTATGATACCGTATCGAAGACAAGTGTATGTGCATTGATACCACAATTGTGTCTTGTGCACGTTGTTCATACGCTGGGTATGGAGCCAACGGTGAAGCTGTAGTGATGTTTGCACACTGTGCTTGAGACGCAAGTCCATCGTTTCCTTTTCGAAATTGAAGTACGACATCATCACACCCAGGTAGCGAAAAGATTTCACCAGTTTGATCTTTGTAGTATGTCCATTTGCCCTGGGGATTTTGATGTAAGTACCATGTTTTGTACGGATGATGAATTTCCTTTGAATCTTCCCCGCAAGCTTGCCCTTCATGCGCATGGTGATTGTGGTCTTTTCCAAATTCAGTTCCAAATGCGCACTCTCAATCAAGTCCAGCAGTTTCCCAAAAGCCGAGATCAGGTAGAGGAAGGAATCCTCAGAATGGAACATCTGATGTGAGCAAATGTCGTCAGCAAATATGGTAATGCACATGATGAGAAAGGACATGCTGGTTTGTGTGGCATATTCTTGCATCAGGGCTGAGATGAAAACCGTCCATAAGCAGGGAGCGGCTTTACAGCCTTGTCTGATGCCTCTGCAGGTTTTGATTGTGCGTGAATGTCCTCGATGGTCAAATTCATACGTTGTGGTCCGATATACACATTGTAAAAAGCTGATGAGTTCAGGTGTAACTCCAAGCTTAGCCATACCGCTGAATAGATGTGAGCGCCTCACCATGTCGAAGGCACGTTTGAGATCCAGGCAAAGTGTCATACCACCTATCAACAGGGGCATTTCCAATCCGTGCTTCTGATTGTGTATGGTGTAGCGAAAACTATCCAGAGCTTCTCGGACCTGTGTGCAGTGTCTGACCAGTCTGTGGATGGCGTCTTCGGTTCCACGTCCTCTGGCATAAGCAAACTGTGGCAACTGATTCAGGGTTTCCCCTATCTGTTGTTGGATGGCATTTTGGAGTAACCCCATTGCAGTCTTTCCAGAAGGTTCCAACAGCGCAATAGGACGAAGTTCTGAAGGATGTCGGCCATGTTTTCCTGGTTTGACAAGTAGAGCCAGGGATCCCATTCCCCAAACATTAGGGAAAGCAGGGATTTGACTGCAATCACACAGCATCGGCTGGAGAAATCTGGCAATGTTCTCAGCTCCATACTTCCAGAACGGTGCAGGGGAGAAGCTTGGTGCCAGAGCCTTGTGTGTTGGCAGGGTTTGTAAGCCATGTGCAAAGTCTTGTGTTGTAAATGGCCAGTCAAATGGTTGTATCTCACTGTCATCAGCTTGATCAGCATAAATGTCCTGAAACCAGCGTTGTAGCCAATCAGCTGCTGCGTCTGGACCCAGTAAATCTCCTTGAGCAGAGCGGAGCATGATGCGTTTGGAAGGCTGCTTGGGTGCCAAAGCTCTAATGGATTGAAAAAGCTGAAAGTGGTCCTTGGCATTGGCTGCCTGTTCAGCTGCATGAAAGACCTGGTCGAGCCGACGTTGTCTGGAAAGTTTGGAGGCCTGTGCCATGTCTTTCCGTGCTCTGCATCTGTGGATTACATGGTACCAAGCAGTAAAAAGTCCAGCTGTGTCAGTAGATGATACTTGTCGAAGACTTCTGGTGTGAGCCTGGAAGCGTCTGGCAGGGCCCATGTCAGTTCGATGTGGAGTGGTGGTGAGGTCCTGCAAGAATGTGTCACCTTTGAATCGTTGTAGGGCAGCATGCAACGCCTCGAGATCCGAAGGTGCAGTATTCACAAGCTGACAAATGGTCTCATTGATTTGACCAGCAAATTCATGAAAAACACTATCCTGTTGAGTGCAGTGTTGATGCAATCGGAGTCTTTGTTGCCTCGTCCATCCATGTGACGTGGTCAATCTTTCTGGATACCATTCCTTCCTGATCGTCGTCATGAGGGGGACATGATACGCACCAGTTAATGGAACCAATGTGAAGTCCCTCAGCTGTTTGACATCCTTGGCTAATCTGTCTGCATGTGATCTGCGAGTGCATATGTAGTCGATTCTGGAGGATTGATTTCCAAATTCATAGGTAGCTCTGTCACCAGAATTCCAGGTATTGAGGGCCACTAAATTGAACTGTTGTAACAGTTGTTTCCAGTGGTCCAGATCTGCATGTCTTGGGCCATGACATCGTCCTTGATCGGTCCAGAAAGTAGGATAACCAATGGCGTCACTTCGTTGGTCTGCAGTACAGTTGAGATCACCAGCTAGAATAAGGGTGTTCCGCTGTGGCAGTGTGGAGAGAAGTGAAAACATTTGATGCCAAATCTGCTGTCTGGATTCCATGTGAGATGGGATGCATGTGTACTGATAAATGTTGATGATGTCAATATTGCGGTGGGTTCCATGTATTCTTAGTTGCAAAAGTCTTCCAGGAATATGTTCATACCAGGATATATCAGAGGGTCTACACAGTTTTTTGGAAATGAGACACAATAGTCCGGCCTGTTTCGTGGTGTTTCCAGAATGAACCATCATATAGTGATTGGACGTCCAATCTCTTGTGAAATGCCAGTGTGTCTCCTGCAGCATTAAAATGTCAATGGATTGATTCTCCAGCCACATCATCATGTAGTCCCAGTCAGCGGGAGGAAGACCATTGCAGTTCCAAGTCATGCAAGTCAACCGTCTGCGTTGTACTGCTTTGGGTGGCATGAGATTTCTCGGCATGGAAGAAGTGGGGGGTACCTGCATGGTAACTCCCAGTTGTGCTGCCGTGTGCAGTTTTCCTCTGTACCAGGTATGTCCATGAGTGGAAGCTCGTTTTCTTGCACGCAGAAAACTCCTTTTGCAAACTGATCTCATTCGTCTAGTCTGGCATGATTCGAAAATCTTTTGGGGCTCCATTCCATGATTTTTCGCAGTGTTCCAAGAATTCATATGAAAGATTGGGTCATCTGCTCTCATGTCACTCATGGACGTGACACAACCCTCACCCCCAACCGCACAACAGGTGATCAAGCACACAAGGATCAAAACCAAAATTCGCAAAGCAAAATTTGTATGGTGCGGTTCTCGGAATTGGGACCGAGGAGCGAACAAGTTTCTGGCACTGATTGTTTGGCTGCAAGATGTGTCAACTCTAATGCAGCCAAGGTTGATCGGCACACAGATGCTGAAAAGAAATAATGCAGTGTAACAAAAGGGCGCTTTGTCCAGCAATTGTAGAAAGAAGAAAATCACAATTCGATTCCAGCAGTCTGTCATGTACCTGTGAGAGACCACCCTTTGCAATGGCCAGCGAAGTCAAAGTTCTGGATCGTGAGGGGCAATGCCGAAAAATGTTCAGTGGATCTGCAGCAGCACGCCCACACGCAGCAGCTCAGCGCACGCCAGCTGCAAGGCCACAGCGAAGCACCCAGGCAAGGGATGGTGCCGCCAGTCTCCGTGCCAGCGAACAAGAAACCAAAACGGCGTGGGAAAGAACTCCTACCCTGTGGTTCCTCACCACTTGAACGCTCAGGGGCTTGTGTGTGTGTGTAACCAACAATGTAACCAACAATATGACTAATACGGATTTCTCCGGAAATGGGATCTGCCGCTTTTTTTGCTAACGCCATGTTTATGTGGGACAATTATGATCAACCATTGGATTTTCGTTCACCATGTAGTTCAAGACCCAGCATAAAAAAGCCCCATCGCTGATCAAACCCAAAGGCCTTGACGGCGAATGTCCCAATTGAACAGCACCCAACCCAAAAGAACAGAACATGATCGCAATGCTGGAATATTATAAATATATATATAGACTTGTGATGTATATATATATATACTTACAATATATATATATAGACTTATGATATATATATATATAATATATATATGTTTACATAATGTCCAAGAACTACTTTTTCCAGGTGATATTCAAAATCCCAAGAACAGGACATCACTCCGCCACCTTTCCCTCTGGTCATCCCTGGCCATGGAACATCCCCGCACTGAAGCATCAAACAGCTGGGAAAATCATCAAAGTAAATGGTGGGTTTTCCATAAAGGTACTAACTGGATATCTTTTGCGGGATGATATCTCATAAGATATAGAGCAAAATAATGGCCATGATATCTATTATATATATATATGTGTATGTACATATGTATTTATATATATATATATATAACTATAAACATCCTAACCACCCCTCCCTGAGCCCCTTTCCGCCGTCCTTCGGCCGGCTGCAGCCTGCTGTGCTTCACCGCTTCCTCAATCGCCGCGGCCGTCGCAGCCCAGTGCAGCAGCCCCCGCTGGGTCACGCGACAAACGCAGCTGCCGTCCGAACGGCGGTGCCAGGTGCCTCCATGGCAAACCATGGGAAAACCATGGGAAAACCCATGGGAAAACCATGGGAAAACCATGGGAAAATGGTGATTTATATATGGAAAATCACCATTTTTAGTAGGTAAATCAACTATTTCAATGGCCATGTTCAATAGCTATGTTAGTTTACTGGAGGAAAAAAAATTGAGAAACAAAGGAGATATATCATGATATAGCTCACCTATGTTGCCATCAACATGGGGAACCTATTCAAAACTTGGATGTCACACATCAAAATGTGAATCAAACTGATTATAGTGAAATCAACTAAAACTTGGAACTTCAGATCTGAAAACACAGGCTAACACTACGGTAAAGTTACCAGAGCTGTTGCTCGCACACCCAACCACGGATTCTGGATGAAATCAGCCGAATCTGATGGTTGCGTTGAAAAGGAAAAAGCCGTTGCTATCGTTAGCAGTTTAAAATAGATGTTGAATCTGAAGAAATGCGGTGTTCATCCCCTTTTGCACACACTCTTGCTTACTGTCAAGTTTTGAACACCAAAAAGTGACAAAAATCTCCAAACACCTAAAAACAACTTGAAATATAGCAGTATCTCAGGATCTCGAACATCACCAAGATCACCATCCAGCCCTGGAAATGTTCGTCGTTTTTCACCGCCACCGGTGCCTTGCAAATCCTCCCGCAGCCATTCGGTGCCATCGTCCCAAAAAAGGCCCAGGTGGCTTCCATTCCGCCCCAGCTTGCCACGAAACTCCTCGCCACGGAGCGATGGCAGCGTTTCGCCAACAAAATGGGAGATTTCATGGGACCTCATTGGGGATATATCATTGGGATATATACAATGGAAATACATGTTTGTGCTCATGATTAACCAGGGCGTATCGCAACTGTACCTGTTTGCATGTGTGAAGGATTTGAAATTGCACTTGGCAGTCATGTCCTTCATCCATGCCAATCTCATAGCCCATGGTGGTGTTGGGTAGCTGTCACGGGCTGCAATCACTGCACACGCCGCAGCCAGGCTAGGACACGCAGGCTGTGCAAGGGGTTCCTAGCCAGAAATAGGGAGCATGGGGCTGTACTTTGTTTGCAGTCACCGTTCCTGCAGACAAGGACCTACATGAAAAGCAGTGCAACACCAGTTCGTTTCATATGGCAGCCAAGCCGCGCAACTCGAGATCACAAATATGTGCGTGCCAGGCTATTTCATCTCTTTTCGCTCCCTATAGCCTTAGCCTTTCTCGCACGCATGGAGATGCAGCAACTAAAGGGAGCGCTGGCTGAGGACAAACGCAGCTGCCGGCTTCCACCAATTTGAACACGACAGTGCCTCTGCGAGTATGGGTCGGAAGGTCCGCCAATAAATGGGTTGCCCGGTGGCGGCGGCTGCGCAGGCGCAAGCTACAAGATGCGGATCTGTTAGCCCTGGACACTTTGCGCACCAGGGCTGGGCAAGTGGGCGGTTTTGCGGCCCCATTTTTGGGACCCCTGAGCGGGACAGAAACAGAGGCCGGAAGAAGTGGGGGCACACTTTTTGGGTGCCAGATTCTAGGCTCTGTTTTGGGGCCCCAAACCCTTCCCACATCAAGGTTTCATCCCGTGCGTTTGGGTCCAGGTTCCTCTCCCACCTTGCCCTGCGCCGCTGCGCCAATGGCAGGTGACGGTGTTCTGGCTGACTGTAGCATATTTGAAACAGAAGCATGCGAGTAGCGGCAAGAAGGTGCTGTGACCAATATGCTCTACAGCCCAAAATGTCCTCGAGGATGCGTAGTTGCAAAGGGACAGTGGAAGGGCGAGCCCCGCACACCCGCACAGGCGCTGCATTGGTCCAACCACTTGACGGCTTTGCTGTCGCAGCTTCCAAATTATGGCTGAAAAGAGAATACCAGGAACTACGTCAAGCCGACCCTGACGGCTAACCTCAGCTCTGAGCATGGTTGTTCCACTTGAGCCATGCTGCCTGATTCCAGGTTCGCAGAGCCGAAGTGGCAACGTTCCTTTCATGGCATTGGTGCCGGGCTTCGCAGTTACGTTCCAGGCTTGCTTAATTCATGAACTACCCGCTTGTCCTGAGCCGGTGCAACCGAAGCCACTAGAGTTTGGGCTGGTGCGGCCAAAAAGGCGCAAGATGCGCTACGCTTAAGCGAGCTTGCTTGGATTGCGCCCTCGGAAGCGCAACAGCTGCCTGCAAGTAGACATTGAGATGCAACACAATGGGGGGCCACAAGTGTGAAGCACGAAATGCAAGTTTTTCGGGGCACCAGAACCAGTGCCGGGTGATGTCCGTTGTTGCACGCATACTGCTGGAAAAAGGTTTGGCTCTCAGAGGTACCGTGCCAACACACAACTAGCAGCCAACATGTCCAAGCCTGTTTACTAGGACTGGAGACCACGAGTAACACTGCCAGAGGGGTTTTTCGGGCCATTCCCTGTGGATTATGTCACAGAATCCCTGTTTTACCACAATGGGAAACACTTTGTGTTCAAATCACGTTTTTACCACATTGGCAGCGTTCCTGAGATTTTGCTTTTGGGGAATATTTTTCTATCTCCCACCGACGTTTCTCAGGAACCCTGTCATTCTGGTGCAGTTTCCGCATCCTCGTGTTCCTGGCTGTTCCTGGTCTCCATGTTCCCCCCTAGCAAGCACGTGACATAAGCTTCCTCCCCTGTTCCTGGTGGGTCTTCCGGTGATCCACCTGGCATGACCAGAAGTGCAACTATGTGCAACCATTGTTGCTAAGTCCTAACATCTATTTTGTGGATAGCTCATCTCAGTGACTCATCTCCTTTTAGCTTCCACTCTGAAGGCCTATCATGACATAATTCCTGATAATCTGGTCGGTGGCGATTGAGGGATAACTCATGCTGGAAACAGAGCAGGCAAGACCCGGCCCAGCATGCACATGGGAGCGAATGGGCTTGAATCGGTGTTTGTTGTCACTTGCACTGCGAAGCTCTATGAAGATTCTTTCAAGTGGCTCCTAGGCTTGTACCCTACAACAAAAGACATACCCAAACATTCGTCGATTCAGGTACCCCGCCATGACATCTAACATCCTCACATTCATGGCCACCATAGGTGCTTGACTGAGGCTGTGTGCATTGCTGCGCACCGAGCTGCAGCAAAAGCACAATCAAGCAGTTCCAAAAAACAAACTGGTTTTTTTGCAGGAAACAGGCTTCACAAGCATGGGCCCTTGTAATGGAAATACATGTTTGTGCTCATGATTAACCAGGGCGTATCGCAACTGTACCTGTTTGCATGTGTGAAGGATTTGAAATTGCACTTGGCAGTCATGTCCTTCATCCATGCCAATCTCATAGCCCATGGGAGTGTTGGGTAGCTGTCACGGGCTGCAATCACTGCACACGCCGCAGCCAGGCTAGGACACGCAGGCTGTGCAAGGGGTTCCTAGCCAGAAATAGGGAGCATGGGGCTGTACTTTGTTTGCAGTCACCGTTCCTGCAGACAAGGACCTACATGAAAAGCAGTGCAACACCAGTTCGTTTCATATGGCAGCCAAGCCGCGCAACTCGAGATCACAAATATGTGCGTGCCAGGCTATTTCATCTCTTTTCGCTCCCTATAGCCTTAGCCTTTCTCGCACGCATGGAGATGCAGCAACTAAAGGGAGCGCTGGCTGAGGACAAACGCAGCTGCCGGCTTCCACCAATTTGAACACGACAGTGCCTCTGCGAGTATGGGTCGGAAGGTCCGCCAATAAATGGGTTGCCCGGTGGCGGCGGCTGCGCAGGCGCAAGCTACAAGATGCGGATCTGTTAGCCCTGGACACTTTGCGCACCAGGGCTGGGCAAGTGGGCGGTTTTGCGGCCCCATTTTTGGGACCCCTGAGCGGGACAGAAACAGAGGCCGGAAGAAGTGGGGGCACACTTTTTGGGTGCCAGATTCTAGGCTCTGTTTTGGGGCCCCAAACCCTTCCCACATCAAGGTTTCATCCCGTGCGTTTGGGTCCAGGTTCCTCTCCCACCTTGCCCTGCGCCGCTGCGCCAATGGCAGGTGACGGTGTTCTGGCTGACTGTAGCATATTTGAAACAGAAGCATGCGAGTAGCGGCAAGAAGGTGCTGTGACCAATATGCTCTACAGCCCAAAATGTCCTCGAGGATGCGTAGTTGCAAAGGGACAGTGGAAGGGCGAGCCCCGCACACCCGCACAGGCGCTGCATTGGTCCAACCACTTGACGGCTTTGCTGTCGTGGCTGAAAAGAGAATACCAGGAACTACGTCAAGCCGACCCTGACGGCTAACCTCAGCTCTGAGCATGGTTGTTCCACTTGAGCCATGCTGCCTGATTCCAGGTTCGCAGAGCCGAAGTGGCAACGTTCCTTTCATGGCATTGGTGCCGGGCTTCGCAGTTACGTTCCAGGCTTGCTTAATTCATGAACTACCCGCTTGTCCTGAGCCGGTGCAACCGAAGCCACTAGAGTTTGGGCTGGTGCGGCCAAAAAGGCGCAAGATGCGCTACGCTTAAGCGAGCTTGCTTGGATTGTGCCCTCGGAAGCGCAACAGCTGCCTGCAAGTAGACATTGAGATGCAACACAATGGGGGGCCACAAGTGTGAAGCAAGAAATGCAAATTTTTCGGGGCACCAGAACCAGTGCCGGGTGATGTCCGTTGTTGCACGCATACTGCTGGAAAAAGGTTTGGCTCTCAGAGGTACCGTGCCAACACACAACTAGCAGCCAACATGTCCAAGCCTGTTTACTAGGACTGGAGACCACGAGTAACACTGCCAGAGGGGTTTTTCGGGCCATTCCCTGTGGATTATGTCACACAGAATCCCTGTTTTACCACAATGGGAAGCACTTTTGTGTTCAAAATCACGTTTTTACCACATTGGCAGCGTTCCTGAGATTTTGCTTTTGGAGAATATTATTCTATCTCCCACCGACGTTTCTCAGGAACCCTGTCATTCTGGTGCAGTTTCCGCATCCTCGTGTTCCTGGCTGTTCCTGGTCTCCATGTTCCCCCCTAGCAAGCACGTGACATAAGCTTCCTCCCCTGTTCCTGGTGGGTCTTCCGGTGATCCACCTGGCATGACCAGAAGTGCAACTATGTGCAACCATTGTTGCTAAGTCCTAACATCTATTTTGTGGATAGCTCATCTCAGTGACTCATCTCCTTTTAGCTTCCACTCTGAAAGCCTATCATGACATAATTCCTGATAATCTGGTCGGTGGCGATTGAGGGATAACTCATGCTGGCAACAGAGCAGGCAAGACCCGGCCCAGCATGCACATGGGAGCGAATGGGCTTGAATCGGTGTTTGTTGTCACTTGCACTGCGAAGCTCTATGAAGATTCTTTCAAGTGGCTCCTAGGCTTGTACCCTACAACAAAAGACATACCCAAACATTCGTCGATTCAGGTACCCCGCCATGACATCTAACATCCTCCTCACATTCATGGCCACCATAGGTGCTTGACTGAGGCTGTGTGCATTGCTGCGCACCGAGCTGCAGCAAAAGCACAATCAAGCAGTTCCAAAAAACAAACTGGTTTTTTTGCAGGAAACAGGCTTCACAAACATGGGCCCTTGTAATGGAAATACATGTTTGTGCTCATGATTAACCAGGGCGTATCGCAACTGTACCTGTTTGCATGTGTGAAGGATTTGAAATTGCACTTGGCAGTCATGTCCTTCATCCATGCCAATCTCATAGCCCATGGGAGTGTTGGGTAGCTGTCACGGGCTGCAATCACTGCACACGCCGCAGCCAGGCTAGGACACGCAGGCTGTGCAAGGGGTTCCTAGCCAGAAATAGGGAGCATGGGGCTGTACTTTGTTTGCAGTCACCGTTCCTGCAGACAAGGACCTACATGAAAAGCAGTGCAACACCAGTTCGTTTCATATGGCAGCCAAGCCGCGCAACTCGAGATCACAAATATGTGCGTGCCAGGCTATTTCATCTCTTTTCGCTCCCTAAAGCCTTAGCCTTTCTCGCACGCATGGAGATGCAGCAACTAAAGGGAGCGCTGGCTGAGGACAAACGCAGCTGCCGGCTTCCACCAATTTGAACGCGACAGTGCCTCTGCGAGTATGGGTCGGAAGGTCCGCCAATAAATGGGTTGCCCGGTGGCGGCGTTGCGCACCAGGGCTGGGCAAGTGGGCGGTTTTGCGGCCCCATTTTTGGGACCCCTGAGCGGGACAGAAACAGAGGCCGGAAGAAGTGGGGGCACACTTTTTGGGTGCCAGATTCTAGGCTCTGTTTTGGGGCCCCAAACCCTTCCCACATCAAGGTTTCATCCCGTGCGTTTGGGTCCAGGTTCCTCTCCCACCTTGCCCTGCGCCGCTGCGCCAATGGCAGGTGACGGTGTTCTGGCTGACTGTAGCATATTTGAAACAGAAGCATGCGAGCAGCGGCAAGAAGGTGCTGTGACCAATATGCTCTACAGCCCAAAATGTCCTCGAGGATGCGTAGTTGCAAAGGGACAGTGGAAGGGCGAGCCCCGCACACCCGCACAGGCGCTGCATTGGTCCAACCACTTGACGGCTTTGCTGTCGCAGCTTCCAAATTATGGCTGAAAAGAGAATACCAGGAACTACGTCAAGCCGACCCTGACGGCTAACCTCAGCTCTGAGCATGGTTGTTCCACTTGAGCCATGCTGCCTGATTCCAGGTTCGCAGAGCCGAAGTGGCAACGTTCCTTTCATGGCATTGGTGCCGGGCTTCGCAGTTACGTTCCAGGCTTGCTTAATTCATGAACTACCCGCTTGTCCTGAGCCGGTGCAACCGAAGCCACTAGAGTTTGGGCTGGTGCGGCCAAAAAGGCGCAAGATGCGCTACGCTTAAGCGAGCTTGCTTGGATTGCGCCCTCGGAAGCGCAACAGCTGCCTGCAAGTAGACATTGAGATGCAACACAATGGGGGGCCACAAGTGTGAAGCACGAAATGCAAATTTTTCGGGGCACCAGAACCAGTGCCGGGTGATGTCCGTTGTTGCACGCATACTGCTGGAAAAAGGTTTGGCTCTCAGAGGTACCGTGCCAACACACAACTAGCAGCCAACATGTTCAAGCCTGTTTACTAGGACTGGAGACCACGAGTAACACTGCCAGAGGGGTTTTTCGGGCCATTCCCTGTGGATTATGTCACAGAATCCCTGTTTTACCACAATGGGAAACACTTTTGTGTTCAAAATCACGTTTTTACCACATTGGCAGCGTTCCTGAGATTTTGCTTTTGGAGGATATTATTCTATCTCCCACCGACGTTTCTCAGGAACCCTGTCATTCTGGTGCAGTTTCCGCATCCTCGTGTTCCTGGCTGTTCCTGGTCTCCATGTTCCCCCCTAGCAAGCACGTGACATAAGCTTCCTCCCCTGTTCCTGGTGGGTCTTCCGGTGATCCACCTGGCATGACCAGAAGTGCAACTATGTGCAACCATTGTTGCTAAGTCCTAACATCTATTTTGTGGATAGCTCATCTCAGTGACTCATCTCCTTTTAGCTTCCACTCTGAAAGCCTATCATGACATAATTCCTGATAATCTGGTCGGTGGCGATTGAGGGATAACTCATGCTGGCAACAGAGCAGGCAAGACCCGGCCCAGCATGCACATGGGAGCGAATGGGCTTGAATCGGTGTTTGTTGTCACTTGCACTGCGAAGCTCTATGAAGATTCTTTCAAGTGGCTCCTAGGCTTGTACCCTACAACAAAAGACATACCCAAACATTCGTCGATTCAGGTACCCCGCCATGACATCTAACATCCTCCTCACATTCATGGCCACCATAGGTGCTTGACTGAGGCTGTGTGCATTGCTGCGCACCGAGCTGCAGCAAAAGCACAATCAAGCAGTTCCAAAAAAAGGACCGGTTTTTTTGCAGGAAACAGGCTTCACAAACATGGGCCCTTGTAATATATATATATATATATATCATGATATGATGGAATCATGATGCCTATTGCTGTTTATTTAAAAAACAAAAAAAACGAAATCAAGCATACCGATAGAAAATCCCGATGTTGATAGATGATTTACCGATTGACCGATTAAAAATATGGGGTATTCGCTTGCCATATTCTAGTTCTGATAGGAGAGCCAGCTTGTGGCTTCTCTGGTCACAACCTGCAAGTCTTAGACATGTCAAAGTTGGACTCCTCAAATTGAGAAGTGTCTCTCGCCCAAGATTTTGGGGGTCAACCAAACATTCTCTGTGCCCTGTGTAGTGCAATCAACCATCTTGTTGCATACATAATACAGATATCTACTACTGCGCCGCTTGCTGTGTTGTTCTCTCAAGATATAAATATATAAATACGTATAAATATTAGATATGTGCTGCTACTTGTGGTTGTATACCCATCACTTGTACTATATTATATCCCCGTGAAATATTCCACGATCCAAAATACCCTCAGTCAACTGTAATATACCAATTGTATACCAATTATATGCCCATTTTGAATACCCATTATATGATCAATATCCATTAGTGATACTGTATCCCCATATATCGACCCATTCAATAGATCCCATTGGTCATAACCTCGCCATGAAAACATCGTCCTTCCCCTCGAACGTAATGGTCATATGGGGACCGATCGGAGTGGTGCTGCCATCGTGCCACCGAATCACCTCATCCTGGCAATGCAGAGAGATCCAGCCACTTCCAATGTCCAAGATGGCCCGTGATCCCCTGATTCCTCGACCCTTTCGCTCCTTGATGAAGCATTTGTAGAGTGGCACCCCATCCGTGACCTGGTAGCCAAGTTTGAGATGCCAAGTTCTAGTCAGAAAATGTGGATTTGAGTGTCAAGCGCCAGGCCTCCAGCCAGGTACCTTCCAAGTCAGACCTGGCTGGACGAAGCCGCGCCCAAAAAATGGGGGCTAATCCCCATGGCTTTTTCCACGATCAAATCGCCCAGAACATGAATGGAAATCTCTCAAATCATATGGTTCACGTCTAGGAATTCTGGAGTTTCATCAGTTCTTAGTTGTGCACATCTTCTTTCTATCTCATGGTATGTCCCATTGCATATCTTATGTCTATCCCAAAATTGTTGGATCTCCTCAAAAAATGATACAAAAAGTGGTCCAGAAATTCAGTTCCTATGGATTTACCCAGAAATTCTGCATCTGTGGTGTCCTCCCATGGGGGCAACAGCTCCCCATTTTTCGCCTCGCTTGGTACAGATCCGCCATATCGTTCCCCGGAGCGCCACAGGAGGCGCAGCTGCAGGGATTCCCCATGGACGTCGCATCGACACCGGAGACGTTCTGAGGGATTGAAGGGAAGATGTGATCATTAAATGATCATCAAATCCCTATGATCATCAGATCATCAAATCCTATAGTTTACACTTCATATATCGTCATATTTAATGTTTATGTGATTTATATTTTCTGTATTTTCTTTACATCTATGGGATTATCATCAAATCATATTTACACTGGTTTACCAGTTTACCATCCAAGTAAGTTTGGGAGGTATCCTCCAGATTTTCACTGCGCCACCAGGTGCTTGGAGCCATTTTCGCTGCTCCGAAAAATGGTGATTTCGGCGCTGATTCGATCTCCGACTTACCGGAGATGTTTGACATGTGGCCCAAGTGAAGCTAGTCTGCTGGTAAACTAACGTAGCGAACTGGAAAGATCCACCATGTTTAATTGGAAAATCCACTATTTCTACCATTTCTATGGTCATGTTCAATAGCTATGTTAAAGTACCAGAGGGTAGTCACCAGAGGGTAGTCTGCTGCAGAAGTTTTGCTCGTAAATCTTCCTGGTCACTTCAAGCAACCACGTTCATCTCATCACTTTCCGATTAAAATTGGTCTAGTTGGTGGGTTGCAAGAGAAATGTTGGTCAGTCTGGATCATCATTCCATTTTGAAGAGGAAAATGAAGATTTAGTAAATGACATCCTCAACCCGCAACCAGATTGTTTTCATGTGATATCCGCCCAGTTGGACACGTGTCCCTAATGTTTGTCAAAAATTATTGTTGGATATCTAAGTCATATCATACATTCACTAAAAACCAATGGTTGCCATAGTTTAATATCCCCATTTATTATTGGTATCCCCATAACCATAGTTTAATATCCCCATTTAGTTAAGTTGCTCCATAGTTGGACATCAAGTGTCCCCGGGCGACCTCGGCTTTCAGTCTGCTGAAAGTGGACCTGAGAGCACGTCGACAGGTGTTTGAAGCAAGAAAAATGTTGCTTCAAAAGCAACAAAAAACTGGGATTTACCAACAAGAAGTTGGATTCAACCCGTCCAAAAATGGAATTTAACAAAAAATGAAGGTTTCACAAATGAACATAATGATTTAGTCAACCAACAACAAGAGTGTGATTTCACCGACAAAGGGATTTAATCACTGGGAATTGTATGAAAAGCAAGAATGGGGACCCAAGCACCAAACATGAAGGAATCAAGCCAGCAAAGTTGAGTACATACCAAACAAACATGGAATGAACAAGATAGATATGTTCGCAGCAATGGCTGATGCGGTATAGCTAGAAGTGGTGGGTCAGTTGACCTTTGTCATCTGTATGATACTGTATGTGTCATTGGTCTTGGAATGTCCATTGTCGAAAGAAAATAAGACTAACAAATAAAGCATAGTAAAGCATAGTTTTATGCGAATTTGTATCACTGGCCAAGTTATATTCCAAACATTATTTTCCGGGATTTTGGGATAATCCTCACAATCCTCACTGGTTCCCGAATTGTCACAGAATTTCTGTCCCCGGTCGCCCGGTCGTTGGCATTTCCCTGGGATTCCCAGCAGAGCACCACCTGACAAAAGCTGATGAATCACGTATAGCTGTAGCCTTTACTCAACCGGACCAACTTTCAGCAATGGCATGGCAATGGCATGGCAATGGCATAGACTTCATGATGCTAGTTTGTTACACTTTGTTGGCAAATTCTCGAATCTTTAATGTCTAGGATCCGACTTGAGTCGAACCCCAAACTTGGGTTGGTTCCAATTGAATGCCAATTTCGGTGGTGGCCGCCGAAACCATTTTTTCCAAACCATGTATCCCCATGACATGTCGGAGGGTACAGTTTTCCGGGGGAAACCTTCATTTTGCAGCACCCAACATGTTTGACTTGTGCACCAGTGGATTCTTGATAGATTCCTTCGGGGGTGGGGATGAACAACGGTGATAGCCTCCATAAATTGGGATATAAACCCCATAACTATGGTTATACCAATCATCCACTTATAAATAGTAGAAAAAATATCCACTGACCCTAAAAAAATGGTAGGAAGGGGATTCTGGGACGGGACAGGTTGCAGGTCAGGTGGGTGGCTGTTTTGTTTTTTCTTGATGTTGGATTTTTAAATGTTTGATTGTTATTATTTGGTTTTAGCGTTTTTTTGATGAGGTTGTTGTGATAATGTTTGTGTTTGGATTATGGGGATGATTGTTGTTACTGTTATGTTTTATTGTGTGTTGGGTGGGTGATTATTTCATAATATATTTTACTAAAATATTGTGAATTAATCATTTTATGTGTTCCATTTTCCTATTCCATCCCACCAATGTTCAATCATGTTTGCTGTTTGTTTGTGTTAAGCACGGTTTGTCGATTTGTTTGTATCATTCAGTTCACCCATCGCTGTTGATGAAAGAGTTAGGTTAGTTAATAATCATAGCGTTGAATTTTCCATCACGGCTCAGTTCCTCACCACAATCAACGATTACCTTTTTATCACTGAGGTTTTCATATATTTTTTTTTTCATTATGTCAAATCTTACAAATGAATATAAATATCATTCCATTTGCTCCCTCACTGTTTTTCAATCTGTCAATGAGTTCATCGCCTGGTGATGGCATAGGATGACACCTTGCAAACTCTCTAATCTCTGCGTCTTCTTTTCCCATCTGTTTCTTTCCCATTCGTCATCCTCACTCTCACTACCAAAGATAGCAATGGCACAACAAACCTACCACAAATGTTTTATCATGTTTTATCGAGAAATGTTTGGTTGTAGCGGATTGCACTGCATCCTTTTCACTGGCGCTGCTTCCTTGCCGCAACTCTGGTTAGGTTCGCCAGCTTCGGGCTTCAAACGGCTGGCAGCCAAGCAAGCAGTTGGACGAGACCACCAAACAGCTCTCTGGCTCTTGCCCCTTTGACGGTGATGGCTTCTGAGATGACTCATTCATTTTGCAGGCTGATACTCACAATGTTTGGTAGCAGGACGACACCTTTTAATTTACTCACTTGCAAGTCCTCACGCAAACCTTCCTTGACGAGAACATCACTCATTTTCTGCACCTTGTTCAGCGTCTTCGACATGTTGCCAGTGCCACCCACATCAACCAGGTACAAAGCACCAGTGTCATCTTTGAAGAAAATTATCGGCACACGGATGGTTCCCCTCGGCGCAATGGAGAGTAGCGTTCTGCATCTCTGCGACTTTGGCAGAGTCGAGCATCTTGCTGTTCTTCTGAAAGATGTAGCCGGGCTGGATGTCTTGGCACTGGAATCGGGCCAACAGCCCGTCAAATTTAAGCCCGCTGAACTTGCACGACCTGCAAGCCAACACCCAAAGATAAGCGGGTTCCAAGATCTTCCCAGCTGTTACAGCTGCTCTGGGGTTCGTTTTCAACGCTTGTTTGAAGATCCCTTGACAGGAACGATGTAGCATGTTGGCAAGACTAAGTAAGTTATGGTCTTTGTCACGAAGTAGAATAAGTAGAACCTCCAGCGGTGCCGTGAGAATATCGTCCAGTGCCACCACCTGTGAAAAACGTTTCTCTTGCACCCTGTCATCATCCTCTGGAATTCCGCAAACCAGGTCTATTAGGCTCTTCCTCTGCCGTGCTCTGTCATCCATCCACATTCGGTTGCAATGCGCGATGCAGGCCTCAAGCCTTGCCTTGACATCGTCACCGACATTCACCAAAAGTGTTGTTCAGCTTGTCCAACAACCGGTCTAGCTCACTAGATGGAAAGTGCAAGCCGGCAAGGAGGAGCTTCTGCAAGGCAAGTCCAAGTGTCACACGCAATGTTGCCACACGAAGCAGAACTGCCTCATACCCCATGTCGATGTCGTCCACGGCTAGGCGCTCCTTACTGATTGTCCCCACATCTGGAAGCAAACATGCGATCCGTCGTCGGCAAGTTTCTGAAGACTTCTGCTTGGGCAGGGGTGGAATGTCAGTGTAGGTTGCCAAGACCTGGACACCAGGAAGCTCTGCGAGTACTCTCATGGCACCTCTCCGGAAGTCTGGGTCTGGACACACAGACCTGTGCTCATCCACGTGCACCAAAAGCACGCCCTTTGGACTGCGTTGCATGAAGGTGGAGACGTCCTTCTCAGGCATGTCTTTCGTTCTTTGGAAAATCAGAAATGCTCCTGGCCTCCAGCCCCGAAGATATGCCGTTCCTTCGCAGGGCAGTCGAAGGAAGCGGCGCAAGCGGCGAAACCCTCTCCCAAAGGTTTGTGCTCTGAAGCAATCCCTCATGTAAGCCGCACCCAAGGCTTCACGCAGCTTGGATGATTTCCCGCATCCACTCACCAGTTGCGCTTCATCAACATAATTTTGATAATTTCCACCGTTGTTGGCAAATGGCATGTATAGATAATGTGTGAAATTCAACCGCGCCTCATCCCCAGATTCTAGCTCTCTGGAACGCAGGAAACCCACCAACACCGATGCCGACTTACCAGACTGGGAAGCCGCTGTGATATAGTCAACAGAGGTGCGCATTCCCAGTTCAGTGCTCATCCTTTCAGCAAAACTGTTCAAGTCGGTGATCTTAGTCTTAGCATAGAAGGGCAGCTGATACAATGTGAGTAGACTACCTCTCTCACAGGTAAGGATGCCTGGTATGTGTCATAGTCCTTCAGCAAGGGCACGCCGTCCACTTGCATGTTCTCTTCGAAACAGTCTTCCAGTTTCTCATTTATGCCACTACCTTGACACCACCACGTTTCACCTGCAGCAGCGAGCCTGACGGCCCCTCCTTGATGTGAGGTCGCATGCTTCACAAAGTCCGTGGGAGCCCAGCCCACAAAGGTCAGCAAAGTCAGAATTACGAACCAGACGCGCGATTTCTTCGCACTTCGAGTCATGGCACACTGCTATGGCAGGTGAAAAATATTCCCCCAAACCTGGTGTATGGTACGAACAGAAGATGCGTATCAAAATGATGTTCAAAATAACATGGAACATGTTCTCAGGTGGCCTCTAAAACTGATTCCCCAAAAACTGCAGTGATGAGCAAAGTCAAAAAAGACATGGCCCAAAAGGTGCGCATGATGTCTCGCCTCTTTGCTCACCGGGCGTGGCGTGTAGCACTCGCACACCTTGCCAAAACACCAAGGCTCAAGGTATGACCAGCAATGGAACCCAGTACCATTCATTGAACATTGTCCGATACCAATAAAGTGCCACAAAACTATTGCGACATGACAATGATCTATAGATGGCAATGGGAAATCCTCTAAAAACAGGAAGTTTGAATGGGAAAATCCATGAAAATCATCATTGAATGGTGGATCTATCTTGAAGGGCAAAGGTCCGCCATCAAAATGGGATGTCACCAACAAGAGCCAGTCCTTTTAGATTTTGCATCACAAAATCATGAGGAAGCATGTATATCTGTATGTACACTTGGTGCCCTATCTATTGACTAAGAAGTCTAAGGATTGGGGTCATCCCAAGTTTATAACCCCTTTCTTGTGGGTGTTCTTGACAATCCCTTTTGAGGATTCCTCCAGCAATCCACGTGCATCCCCTAGCTTTGGAAATCTCCCACGATGTTTGCTGGTGAGGCCCTAATTTTTTTGGCATCCTGTCACGGAAAATGCCATCGCAAGCATCATCCCATTCGGAGGCCAAGTCACCTAGCTTCGAGATGCACTCCTTGACCGCATATTTCGCAGGAAGCCGGGAAGCCCGGGAAGCCCGGGGCACGCTGAAGTGACTTGCACATTACTCCACTGGTCGTTCAATGGTCGGGTTGCGAACAGTCATTAGACACTGCTAGTCTTCCCATATTCAAAATGTCCACATATGTCCACGATTCAAGAATCAGGGGTATCCTGTACAAAAAATCGTGTGGTGATCAGCCACTACTCACTATTTTATTTCCGAATTCAAAACCATTGGTGTTCCACTGTTCCTTCCAATGCTGACACGGCATACCCCGGCCATGTCCTGCAACTCGGGGAAAAAGTTCCTACACGACTCGGCCTGAGCCAGAAAAAACTCACCGGGAGACCCTGGTGAACATCCAAAAAGGATGGTAACTATATGGAAAAATGTGGGATTTGTTAATATCATATATGTTCATGTTTGTAATGGCTGTTTGAAATGTCCGTATTCTACTCCAGGATGACTTTTTCAATGGATGTTCACAGAAATCATGTGTGTCATAGAGTTTGACCCATCCAGTTTTCAAAGTCAATCAGGACTCATCTCAAATTTTCGAGAAGAACGGACCATTTGTCGATGGTTGGTCGACCAGTCTGGGGCCCCATGGGGTTCAAAGGGATCAACCAGCCAAGCTAAGCCGTAGCTCGGGATGAAAAATTCTGTTGATGCCCCCGGATTTTCACAACTCAAAACAGCCCCAATTTTGGATGTGATCCATGACTCTTTTTTGGAGTGGTGAAGCCCTATTTTCATCAACTGGGGGGTGAAAAAAAACTCCTGGGTTAACATGATGCTAGTAAAATAAGGCTTCATTTATCCTGGCTTTGCACGAAGCATGATGGCAAAGCCGTCCACGAAGAACGGGCCGGGCCATGCTTGGGGAACCCGGCGACCCAAGAGTCCTTCGACAACGTGACGATCATCACCTGCTCCGTTTCGAAACGGCCGTTGTTGAAAATCGATCAAAAAATTTGGACTCAGGCTGTCTTCCGTTTTCCAGCCATGCACGTAGGTTTTGCAGCCATGACGATTGTCATGGTTCCTGTACTTTGATAGAAATGCCTATTGCACTTCTCAGATACCTTGACTCATGGCAGAGTCTCTTCCATTTCAAATTCTACTCTTTAATTTCGACCCATGGCAGGATCGAGATCCCTTTCAGGACCTGTTTGTCCATGGCAGGACAGGCCACTCAGGCCGTTTTTCTACGTTTATTTCCACTAGTTGCCCCTGGGTGGGGGGGTTAGGGAGCCCAAAAGCTACCCCAACACCTGTCAAACTACATGACACTTCGCCCAACCAGTCGTTTCGACTACTTTGGACTCAGGCTGTCTTCCGTTTTCCAGCCATGCACGTAGGTTTTGCAGCCATGACGATTGTCATGGTTCCTGTACTTTGATAGAAATGCCTATTGCACTTCTCAGATACCTTGACTCATGGCAGAGTCTCTTCCATTTCAAATTCTACTCTTTAATTTCGACCCATGGCAGGATCGAGATCCCTTTCAGGACCTGTTTGTCCATGGCAGGACAGGCCACTCAGGCCGTTTTTCTACGTTTATTTCCACGGCTCCCACCAGTGAAAGCCTGGTGCTCGTTGAGGAACGTAGACGAATATTGAGCCACCAAAAACTTTGAGCGCAAAGTCATAGACAAGGAAGGAAGCAGCGCCAAACCATCGCAGATATATAGTCTGGCGATGTTACTGTTACGCCAGCGTCCGCGGATAAGCGTACGCTCCATAAGGCCATGACTTTGCATTTCATATGTAGCTCCTCCCCGCCTTAAGGAGTAGGGTCTGAACCCCAGATGCTGCACCTGAAGGGCCTCCACCGCTCGGCGGAAAAGATTGCGAAACGCAGTCCCGCTGTGTTCCCAACAAGGCACTTTAGAGAGCCCCAATTGGTACTTGAGTTCAAGCATGGCCCTAACGGTCTCAAGTGTGGACCCATCATGAATGGTGACGCTTTCTCGGCTATTGTTTCTCACTCCGCTCTTGCTGGATGGGAGTGATAGGAGTCCACGCGTGTCATCCAAGATGAAGTCACAGGGGCGGATTTGTAAAAGCTCACCCGTTCGCAGCAGCGCATGAAATCCCAACAAGATGAGCGCTGACATCGTCAGCTCATCTATCGATAAGCACCACCCGGCCATCGCAAGGACGATATCCTGCGGGAGCGGGGGTGCCCGACAGGGAATCTCAAACTTGCGCCAAATGCCATAAAGTCTCCAACTTTTAGGCAGCTTCTTCTTGGTAAAAGGTTCAAAGTGATGAAGACCTGATAAAGCATCTCCAATTAAGTGAAGGGGTGTTCCATCTTCAAACTCATTTTGAATCCAGAGAGCAATGGTTTCATCCAGCTCCCCTTCAGTAGTGACATCGTGAAGCTCGGGTGCAAGGCGCCCCACAGCAGTGTAGTACCTTTCCAAGGTAGCCTGCGTTATGCCCACATCTTCTAATTGTATGTGTCTCCTTGCTTGTCGCCTTTGTTCTTGAGTCGCCTGACCAGGCCAGAAGTTATGGGCAGCAACCATACGCAGGGAAAGGGTTCAAGCACGGCTGGCGGTATCGGTGGGGTTGTCGAGGGATTCCACGTGGGATACGACCAGGTAGAGATCCCAGGCCAGCAGGGCCGTAGCCAGCCGGCTCAAAAGTGGCTTGAGCATGCGCGATGACGACCGACCCTTACTAATAATACTCATTGCCACATATGAGTCACTGAGATGAAAGATGCGGGCTTGACATTCCCTCATATGGTTGATCCTCCATTCGACACTGTGGATTATTGACCGAAGTTCCAAACTATTTATATGATCAAACCTGTTCCAACGACATGCAAAAACCTTCGACCAGTGCCACCATGCAGAACAAGAACTTTGTCGGGGGTATGCCTTGGGGTTTAACACTGCTCCTGTGGTGATCCTAACATCTGAGCCAGTATGGTTCACCCGACGTAGCAAAGAAGCATGCATGGCAGCAACCCCCAAATATTTGTTGGAAGACCCATAGCATAAGCGCCTTTGAATAGGGGCCTTGGTTTCAATGGGGGCACAGAACCCAGGGGCCAAACCCATCCGATCCCAAAGCATATCATAATGGGGGATCTGTACCCACCGTCGACAAAGCATTGCTGCCACAAAAACAAAGCTAAAGCAGTTGAAACTGTCCCCCACCAAGCTCTTACGTTTGTCCTCATAACCCCTTGGATTCTGCTTGATTTCGGTGGCCGACCAACAGAGGGCTGTATGTTCAAACCCCAAACCATGAAGCAGCTCCCGTTCACTGGCGGAAGCCAACCTCCATTTCTCGTCCTTCCAGAAAATGAACTTTTCACCATACTGGTATGGGGGGAAACGAAATTCATCAGCAGCCCACCTTTGTTTCCCCTCCCAGCTCACCCGTTCAAGTCCTGCCGGTTTTATTGGGGGGGAAGAGCGTCGAATTGCCTTCATGCAAGTAGGCAAGACAGCTCCCTCAGAAAACCCCGGCCAAACACACCCTTCTTCAATCCATTGTTCCAAGGCCGGGTAGTTGTGGGAAAACTTCACCTCCCACCAGCGATCTTTTTCGGTGACCTCGACGCCTCCCATGTCAGTCAGTTCCGTATTGGACCAACAGAACCGAGGACGGTGAACTGGGACCACATCAGCTGAGTCGAACCGCCAGGGCTTAATGCCCAGCGTTTCTGAAATTTCCCTTTCCGCAGCCACATCCATGCTGGCCACATTCTCAGCCGCAAACTTGACCGGGAAGGCATAGCCATAGACCTGGCGCACCTGTCGGATTATCCGCACCATTTCCCAAAACAGACCTGATTGGGGGTCCTCCAAGTTGAGGCGGCCAAACCTCACTGCACTCAGTCCCACGCAAGGGAAACCTGCCCATACGTGGATCTCCTCTATCTCGGGATAGAGGTACTTCCACTCCCTGATCTGTTCTTCCGTCAACGACCGGACATCCAACTCAATCTTGACCTGTGGCCACCTCCTGCTGGTCACTCGGTTGGCCGCTTTGCACAGCTCATAGGATATGCAGACAGCCGGGGAGATGCCACACAAATCATAGCACCTGAAAGCACACCCTATGCCGTTGAATAACGACAGCACCAGAATGGGAGCACGAATTCCTTCAGCTCTTCCATCCAGATCCGCTCCCACAAACTCTTGGCCAGCCAAGGTGAGCTCCACACTCTTCC